AAGAGAAGAAATGTTAAAAGTGCATAAAAATTATTTCATTCAAAATATTCTGAAACCTCAAAAACTGAAACTAAACCCATAAACTCTCTTTCATTAAATCACTGATTTAAGTATTTTAGAGACCATTGCTTTGCAGTGAATTGCCACTAAAGCATTTGCATCAATTCTTAATCCTTAAAACATGCAAGTGACTATAATAACTACTGACGTGTTGCATTTTTTGCCAATTTTAGGTTCAAAGAAAACTTTGTTTATTAAGGTATTTGGTAGTTTCAAATCATTTTCAGCTATTTTTTTTATTTTCTAAATGTACCATGACTTACAAAAGTGTCCGGTTATATAAGAACAGGATACCGACAACAGTAAAAACACATAAAACGGCGGTTATAAAAGATGAATTTGAATTAATAAGGCTTGTTAGACAGTTAAACCCAAGTTATTTTTAATACTGGCATTTTTAATATTGTTGGCCATATTATGTAGGTTAACTACGAAAGTAGTGTTTTATGCTCCTTAATATCTATGTTTTTAATGAACAGAATGGTATAAACTTTGCAACTTCTTTTTAATTTTAAAATTTTGCCTATATACTAGTGCGTATGACTGAAGTAGTACATGCATATTAATTAATATTCTATTAAACTTTACTTAATATATTCTACTAAGATCATTTCAAAGTTAAATTGACAGTATTTTCTTAAGAACTATTTACATACTGATTAATTTATATTTTTCATTACTACGTCTGTTATCTTCAATTTAATTTATTTTACAAGACATCTTGATGAACGTTTCGCTAGTGTCTTATGCTACCTTTCTTGTCACATCACCAGCTGTGAGTTTTATATGAGGATCATAAAATGATCTCTAAAATCATCAATACCGTTTGAAGGATTTCATTAAATGTCTGCTTAACGTAAAATACTAAACGAGGAGATTTTTGTTTTTGATAATGTTCAAGTAGTATAGCTTTGCCAATTTTTGAACTATTTTGGTTGACTGAACATGTCTGATGTTTAAAACTGAGCTGATAAATATACAGAAAAAATTTAACGACAAAAAATTTAAAATTTTCTATAAATTCTTCAAGTCGAACTACGTCAAACTTTTTACTTGCCGTAAAAAAAAACTGATCTCTCTTGGAATTGATTTTTCTCCTAGACTGAAAAACTACAAATTGTGATTAAGAGTAACAAAAACTACTGAACCTATGATATTAGAGGGAAAGGCTTTTTCGCTTCTGTCGCTTTTTTCTTACCTTTCATATTTAGCTTTCAGCTTGTCACTTACTTTTGTGTTCTAAGGTAGGAAGCTTTAATTTTGCTTCCTTGTCGTTATGAAACACAAAGAAACAACCACCTTCTCATTTCTATATCTGCAAGAGTTCAGCCTACTACTCAATGAAAGAAATTATTCCCGAAACATTATGTCTTGTTGTTTTGAATAATGACTAAGTAACCATCTGTACAAAGGCTACGAAAGGTATATTTTAATGCACTTGATGCTTCTATATCATGGCTTTTCCATTATTTATAATAAACTGATTAACACAAAGTTTTATATTTCCAAACACTGTAATCTTTAGCGCCCATGCTTAAAATAAATTTTTAAAATGCTTAAACGAATATGAAATAATAAAATATAAAATATACACAAACCCAAATGGATTGTTATTACAAAAACTTACGTGTATTTGAAGAAACATTTAATAGTATTTTTTTCCGTAACCAGAGGCATAATAACGAATCTTTTCCATGTATAACCTTGACACGAATGCTTCAAAAGAAAACTTACTGCTTGATCGTGCTCGAAATGTAAGATGGAGATGCTGTTGTCGTGACCCTATTTGATCCCAAGAGATCACCATTTTGTATTCTATCAAGGTAATCAGGAAACCAGTAACGTTATGACAGTAATGCCTGCTCGAGTATAATAACACATTTTATCTACTTTCACTAGACAGAGTGATAAGAATTAATTACATCAGGTAACTAGCTGTTAATTGCAGGCGTGTTCATTGATCTTGATATTACAGGGATGATGACAGCTTTCCAGTATGTTTTGATGTAAAGAGGAAAAAAATTAAGAGTAATAGCTTTCAATTCCTGTTATTTACAAAATACTTGCAACTTATTTGTATCACATGTTAAAGATGCTTGTTTATTTATACGCAAATTAATGTTCTAATCTAAATCTACTTTTTCAATACGGAGAAAAATCTAAGCTTACAGCGTACTTCAGCTACTTATTTCCGCAATTTTAAAAACCTTGTGAGAATAAACCTGAAAATTATAGTAAATTCCTCGCACACATACATATATACAAATGTGTGTGTATGTGTGCAGGATAGAAAATTAATTTCGTTTTTTGACCCCTCATTTCATTCTTAATTAGGTCTTATGTCATATGTTCTTAATTACATTTTCTCTAATTTATTCTTAATTAATAATTCAAGTACTACGCTCAGTTTTACTTCAGAGAAAATTTAACTCACAATAATTTACTGCTGGCATCTGTGGGAAAATTTTTAACTAATTAAACCTTCTCCAGCTGCAGCGTAACTATTCTTGACTAATTTAGCCTTTTTCCTTGGGAGATATCTGAAAAAAAAATCTTTCGTTGAAGTTTGGTTTGGCAAACATTCGTCTAGCTGCATGCAGATTGATATCATTAATAGTCAAAAACATTAACATAACAAAATCAATAATCATAATATTAACATAACAAAATTAAATCAATAATAATAATATTAACATAACAAAATTAAATCAATAATAATAATTTAACATCAATAATAATAATAAAACAAAATAAATCAATAATCATAGCAAATAAATAAATAAAATAATAATAATAATAATAGCATAACAAAATAAAATCAATAATAATAACATAACAAAATTAAAAAAATAATCATAACAAAATTAAATCAATAATCGCTTGCGAAATCTCAAGCTGAAGTCTTCATTTTTTTTAGTATTTATTTTCAGAATGGTGGCTTTTAGATTTCACTGAGCATGTTTGTTGGAAGTTCCATTTCTTCTTTCTGTTTTGTTGGAATCGAATTTGCATGCCTAAAAGAGCTACAACCATATATGAATGTGAGTTCTTTTGTTTGACAATCACAATTCATATTCAAACAAAACACATTTAATAAAACATTAATACATCTATAATGTAGTTCATCTATTAATACAACATCTATAACATCGTATATCTATTACCAAGACATCTATAACATCTTATATATATTAACATGATACCTATAACATCTTACATCTATTAATACAACATCTACATCATCTTACATCTATTCTCACAAAACAAAGTGGCGAGAGTTCTATTAGTTTCACTCGAGCAGTCAACAGATAAAATTTAGACAGAGCGAGAGGAAAAATCTTAAGCTATGGATTTAAAATCCCACATGAATATGGCAAGGCAATTAAAAGAGAATTCATCTTGCACAAAATTTGAGAAGCTTACTGACGCGATTTACGTTATTACTAAAATTAAGAAATTACCACAATTGTGTTCTTTAAAAATGGTTAATAAACCCTAAATTAATAATTTTTATTAATTAAGGGTCAATTAATCATTTTGTAATTTCCGATTATCGAAAATATTTGCACGAAAGCAAGGAATCGATATCGATTACTCAAAGATATCTCTCTTAAATTAAGTAACTAATCTAAAATAAGAAAAACTATATTATTCATTAAAAATTTTAACATGTACATAGAAAAGGGTAGATAGCTTCAAAACTTGTTTATGTTTTTTAAAAAATAAATTCCTCGGAATTTTAAAGCTCGTTGCTATAAAAGATGAGAGTTTCCTGCCATAAGTGATTGCTATGATAGTAAGTAATATCGTCTTAATCCGGAAACTTGTGGATGAAGCACATAGGTTCCTCAGACACGTGTCAAAAATCCCTATATTTAGCATAAAAAATTACGCTAATAACACCGTATTTCAATATGAATCAAATTACAGCGAAGTTCACATACCCACAGTTTAAATTTCTTTTATTTTAGTATCCGATTCATATTCTGTACGTTTAAAGGGTAAAACTGTTAGTTAAATTCCAATTTCTGTTAAGATCTATCTGACAAAGTAAAAAAGAATGTTTTAGCATACTAAAACAGATTTACACTATTTAAAATATATTTTTCGTAGTACAAACTCCTCAATTATTATAACAAGAATATAATAAAATAGCATTATTTACACAAAATACTTTAATTGCGTCTCAGAATTAAATTCCTAAACATTTACGGTCCCTAAATGCCATTTACAGCTAAAACCTTTATAATCGGATTAGTATACGTGCATAACTGTTTTCTGCACATGAAAAATCACTGTGAGATTATCTTATATCAAAGTTTAAATATTTTTATAATTATAGACTCTCATAATTATAATATTTCGTCACTACATCAAATTAGCCAATTTATTGGCTGTTTGCTATATTCTTGTTTGTAAGTAGCATTTCAGTTTATCAATTCACTAAAAACTGATTCTATTCCTTTCAAAGCATTTTATAAAATGCAATGTGCGCGTTCGACAAGAAATTGCAGTAGCTGTTGAAAATCTCATTTAATAACGCTTCCTAAAGTGAGCTTATCACTAATTAATAAAATTACAGATTTTGCTTTAAATACTGAGTAATTTTACTGATGAAAAATGCCTTTATGAAAATGCCTTTATTCTTCTTTTATCTTGAAACATAATTATGCATTATTGTGTATTTAAGGGGTCTGACTAATTTCAGCTCATTGTTATAAAATAGTTCACTTAAAAGAAAATGTATTAGATTTTGGCTTCTTAAATGTATTAAAGTTTGGATAAATTAAAAGATTGTTTTCGGTGAATGACGAAAGGTTTGAAAAATTGGTGTCAGTAATAAGTTATCCGATAACATAATGCATTTCCTAATATTTATGAGTGACGTATGAAAATATAGTTATAAAATTCTGAAATAATAATATATTTCTATTTTTCAGACTTTGAGCAACGATATTCCTAGTGGCAGCATTTCCGAGCATCTACAGTACACAACTAATACAACATACAATAACAGTGAAGAAGTCGAAGAAACAACAATTTCTAAAACTTCAGAAAATGATTCTACAGTTTCCAAATATGGATATTTAACATTTTCGACTGAAATATTCGTTGAAGATTCCAAACTGAATGAAGATGCTACAGTTTCAGAAAAAATCCTAAATAGCACTAAGCATCAGGATTCAAATAATGGATTGGCGAGTTCTGCATTTAATTTAGGAAAAGAAAACGTGAGGGAAAAAATGGCTATATTATATGAAAGTACAACTGAGCACTTGCAATCACCTAATAATCAACGTTCTATTGAAACTGAAGATTACATCCAGAATTCAACAGAAAATTTATATTACAATGAATTAGCTGAGAAAGTTATGGATTATGATACAAGCATGAGTTCTTTATCCGAACGGTTTGAAACAACAGCCTCAACGAAATCTAAACCTTCAACTGAATATATGACTACTTTGAAAAAAGATTCGGAATCAACAACAACTTTAGAAAGTAATCCAGAATCTCGGAAAGAAGATAATGCGGAAGTTTCTCATACGCAGACGGATGAAATTTTAAGTTATAAAAAAGATTCAGGGAGAAATTTAACTGCGAATAAAACTGAAAATGCTGAAAAATTCAAGGAAAGTACACCTGTAAGTTCTGAAGACTTTAGAACTGAATTACCCGATGAAATGGAACATAATGGGGAGATGAGGGAAGAATTCTTCGCTGGTAGCAAACAGAATGATACAGTAACTGAAGAAGCAGTGACGACAGAAAATATTCCAAGTGTTCGAAATTTAGGGAGCAGTAATGAGATGTTTAAGCGTAATGAATCTGACATTTCCGAAATCTCTGACGTTAACAAAGAAATGCCTGACGAGCATAAAGAAGTGCACACAAGTTCAATTAGACCCGAAATTTTAAAAGAAATTTCTGAAAATCCCAACGAAATATATGAGCATGTAGAAGCATCTGTGACAGATGATCGTAAGACTAATGAGAATAAAACAGATGATCTTACTGAAGATCCTTTAGAATGGTCAGCAAGCAATATAAATTCTGATGAAGTTTTTTTCGAAGCCACTGAATTAAATAATAATTCCACCCGTATTCCTAAGAGAATACAGGAAAATCAAGATCGATATCCTGAAGGAAGAATGAGACCAGCTAGACCAGATCCCGGATATTCTCATCGCCAAGAAGCAGACCTTGTACGACCATACAGACCAGATTCTCCTTTGAATCAGTACCCTTATTACAGGCCCACTCCTGATTATCGCACTCCTTTAATTAGACAAGACACAGATTTCACACGACCTGCTCGTCCGGATCCTGATTTTCCTAGAGCTTCATTTAGACCCAATTATAGCTACTCAAAGCCTTCAGTTGATGGCACTGATTCGTCCAGGCAATCTTCGTCCGACTCTGGATCTTCAAAACCCTACAAACCATCTTTTAGTAGACCCTATCATCCCCAAACTAGTTTTGGTAGACCTTACCGACCGGATTACCAAAGACCAACTCCGAGGCCAGCTGATGATCCAGTAGTAGCCCCAAAGTCAACAACTGACTTTAAAGGCATATCTTACCAAGAACCTGAAGGTTTTGAACATTCTCGAGCAGATTATGACTACACAAAGCAATCAGAAGTTGTGCCTGAATATCCCAAAACATTTTTGTCTGATACGAGACCTTCTCAATTGAAACCAGACATTACAAAGCCCTTCAGACCTTCATATGATACAATCACTGATTCATCCATTCATTCCAAAACACCTGAAGTTGATGTATTCACAGAAAATCGAGATTCTATCAAACTTTCTAAACCTGACATAGCGACTGGAAAACCAGGAAGTTCCTATTATCCTAGACCAGGATTCGGACATAATTATCAAACATCTGATACTTCTGTTAGACCATTTTCTGTTGGCACAGTGACATCCGCAAAGAACATTACAAGAGTAGAATGTGAGTGTAATACTATCTTAGATACTATACTTAAATGCTTAGATGTTTTAAATAACTAAAGTCTAAACTTTTGAAACTTTTTTTCAAATTCTGATTAGTTTTTTTTTCCCCTTATTCTTGCAGTTATCAAAGCTGACTGTTTTGATAATCATATGAAAGTAACAATGCGCTTCAATGGTACATTTAATGGACTGGTGTACAGCTCAGGTTACGCTCAAGATTCATCTTGCTCTTATGTCAATGGATCTGGTAGAAATCATTATGAATTTTTTATAAGATTGAATCGCTGCGGAACTCTTGGTCAGCAAGAAGTGGCTGAACAAAGAGCTGCACCTACTTCAAGGGTACGTTGGATTTTCTATTTAACCTTTTAAAGTATTCATCTTGTTTCTAGATATCAGCAGTAAAGCTAATTTTTATCCTTTGCCTTCAATCTTCTATCGGCTACATAAATTAATACCAAAAACTTTCATAAAAATCTAGTAATTTTTTTAATTGTAACATTAAATACTGCATACAGTACGGAACTCAGAACTGAATATTTAATAACTGCTTTATAAAGCAGTTTAATCTGACTTCAGTTTCTGCCTCAATCCGTTCTATGGAAAAGAAGAAACTCATTTAGATTCTGTGCACATGCTATTTAAATAATTTAAATGTAAACATATAAACTGTTTTCAGAAGAATAAATATGTCTTTTATTTTATTCTTTAATAAATATTTTATTCTTGGAATATTTTATTCCATTATTTATTTAATTAAATAGTTTATTATTATTTATTTTTATATTTATTATCGAGGATTAGAGGAATATTAGTAACAGTTGTCACTAATATTCCTCTAATTCTCGATGAGAGGCGCAGCAATATTGCTTAGGAAAGGAAGTTTAAAATATAATTAACATAACACGTTTAGATTTATGTGAAAAAAATGATAAAGGATAGATTTACATGAGAAGAAATTAAAATGTATAGCATGTCATAGAGAATAGGGAAGAAATGTCATAGGGAAAAGTGAAAAACATTAAGTGTTTTTCACTTTCACTTTAAAAGTGATAAGCATGTCTCATGTTTTGTCTTACATCGTCAAATGGTAAACTGATGAATAGAAGCAACAGATAAACGTGCAAATAAACAATAAATTCTTAAGGTTATTTACTTAGCATATTGGCAGAAATTAAAGTCTCTTTTAGTTGCTAAAGTTCTAACCATAATCAGTAATGGAATAATAGTATTTAAAAATAAAATAATAGTATTTGTTACAACACTTTTGTAAACAAATTTTGACCTTGTGCCTTAACAGGCAAATATTGCTAGTCACATTAATAAAGCTACTTTTTTATAATAAACTTTACAGATATAAAATATTAATATTATAAATACAAAGACTAGTATTTTAGAACTTATTTGTGGTCCTACAAGTCTAAAACGAATAGATTGTAAAAATAGTTTTATTTCAAACCGGATACAGTTCTTAAAGTTAGATTGCAATAAAAGTCTTAGAAAGTGTACTTCAACTCTGAACATTCGAGAGAAAAATGAGTCCATTAGAAGCCATGCACTACCTTCATGACAAAAGCAATACTTATCTTAAAGAGCAAATGCTTTTAAGTGTCTTGACATTTCAGTTTCAAAGCACCTTAACGAAAAAGTTCTAGTATGTATTTTCCTCTCCTATAAAACCCTTTAATTTCAGAGTTTTAAATTAAGCGTGACATTTCTTAAACGTTGGGCTGAAAACTCACGATGGACCTTGAAACCCTTCATAGAAAAAAGGCTACAAACCTACATAAAGAAATTTGCTTTCTTAAAGCTACATCAGACAGAAAATGAAGGTCAAATATCCAGCACAAAGTCACAGGCTTGCAAGTGACATTACCATTCAGGAATTTTAGATTGATTGCATGTAAGCTACTGATTAACCTATGTAACCGAAACTTAATAATCGCAGGGAGGTGTATTTTATATTGATTTTTACATTGTGAACTTAAACTTCTGTAACTTGTTTCTCTTTCTGTAGCGGCTTTTCTAAGACAGACCAAACTACATCTTTCTTCATACTTTTTTTTTTTTTTTTTTTTTTTTTTTTTTTTTTGATTTTCCTATTTCTTTACACAAAAATGAAGACAATAACAAATGAAATATTTAAGCTTAACGAAATTAGGCTTTAAGAAAGTTAATTTTTCGAAATAATTCACAATATAAAAGAATTCTTTCCATTTGCTGTCTGGAAATAACGCACATTTTTCGAGTTTTGCCTTCTTTAGCATATGTAGGTAACCCTGACACTAATACTAATATAGCAAGGACCACTCAAAATAACATTAAGATAAGATTAAGTTTTTGATAACATTAAGATTATAAATATTATTAACGTTACAGAAATCCCTATAAATTTCTCAAGGCTTGGAAGCATGATTTGAAAATTTCCTGTTGTTATTCTACTAAAGTCCCCCCCTTCTTCATATACAACATTAATTTTACGTTCGCCTTTGTTGAATTGGATACTTTGTTCCATATGATTTGTCTTTCACTTGCGAAAATACGTATGTTTCCCATAACTAGGCAAATCACCTCTGCTCATTCAAAACAAATAGATAATGTTAAGATTGCTTAGCTCATCTAAGAATATAAATAATAAATTTTCGTGATTCAACAATAAAGGTATCTGTAGCGACTGCAGCTTCAGTTAGTTTAGGTAAATTTAGAAGGAGTTTTTTTTCCTTCCTCACATGTGTCTTCTTGGTGTAATTGGAAGCACGTTCAGCTAGGAATCCGAAGGTCCGAAGTTCGAATTCGAGCTAGGGCATAACTGATTTTTCAGCTTTGCTGTTTCGATGAACCTAATTTCTTTGTAGTAGCACCTAACTAAAATGCGTAGTACGATAATTCGTCACCACTTGGATTTGGTAATTAGATCCCCTTCCTCTCCGGTATCTTTTAAGTGGGGAAGAATATAAGGAATTTTCTTCTTCATTACTGCATACCTTCGTGGCGTAGCTGTAAACATGTCTGGCTGGCAGTTGGAAGGTTCGGTGTTCGAATCCTGGCGAGGACAAGCTTATTTCTCCTGTTTCCCGTTTCTAAAAAGTCAAAATCACTCTATAAGTTATATTCGACTAGCATTTCATGGACGATAATCAGTCACCCCCTCCCGGATTTGACATCCGGATTTCCCTCTTTCCTAGTTGCCTTATAAATAGGAGAGAATATAAGGAATTTCCCCCTTGCTCATTCTGTTTTTTCGAGGTATATTTGGAAGTAGTCGGAAGGTCCAAAATTTGAATCCCAACGAGCGAATCACTGAATTTTCATGTTTCCTTCTTCGATAAATATCTAATCTTTGTATAAACACCCAATCCCTGTGTGCTCACATATTAAAAAAAATGAATCATGCATTTCAAACCACAGCTTTCAATGTCTTAAAAATACCCAATAAATGGTAAAACAGAAGTCCTATCAATAGTATATTGTGTGACAGAATCGTTAAAAACCTAATAAAAAGTAAATAATCTTTAAATTATAATTAATTAAGTGATGGCTTCTAAGGTAAAGAAAAAACAAATAAAAGTGAGAAAAAATTCACCCTGTGATCTATTGTCACTTGGTGTATTCTAATAAAGGCAAAAATTAATGTATGATGCAAAACATTTACATTTTTGTTGACACGTTTAGCGTCTAAAGACGTTTTGAACGCCCAATGAAACTGCATAATAAAATATCCGGTTGAACCCTTCTTACGGATTTTTGCTTTTGTGAAGGAAAAATATAACAGATTTTTGCGCAGCTTAAACACTCAGTTAATGTAACCCTGTAAAAATTCTGCTTTTCCAGTATTTCTTTATATTTATAATTTACAACTTTTACTTTGAAAACTAAAATATGTTTAAACACATTACATTATGTTAATGTAATGCATTCTTCTCGTTTCCTTTTCAAAAAAATTAATTCTTTTTCTTAGAGGAGGCAAGAAAGGGCTCAGTACTTAGTGAATACAGTTACTGTACAGTACAATCCAGTCATTGAAGAAGATATTGACGAGCATTTCAGAGTGACTTGCGAATATGGTTACGATTTTTGGAAAACAGTTACTTTTCCAGTTGTCAATGTCGAGTGAGTATCTTATCTCTAATTTATTAATATTTTTATCTGTCTTTTTTTTTTTTTAAATTGCAATAGAAAGTGCTAAATTCCAATAATTTCATGTTTCATAAAATAACTATTTCACCAAATGATTTCATATAGAGAAGAAATCATAATTTCGTTATAAATGTAACGCTAAGATTAAAAGGTAATTTTAAAAATTCGGAAAAATGCATATATCACTAATATGTACAATGAATGTTTATGAATAAATTCTCATCACCACAATTTTTCTCAATTCATTAGATTATGGCAAAATATGCTAGGATTGCTTGCGTATAGGGAAGAATGCCTTCGTGGAGGAATTCCTAGGGAAAATTAATGTTACGCATAAGGAAAACCATGAAAATGTAACACAGCAACTCTGTTTAAATGTCTAAATAAGTTGCGATCAGGCCATAATTATACATAAAATGTTGCTGGGAGTTCTTGCCCATGCTCTTTCAGAACTTCCATCGCCATATGTTACACATTAGGTTTTAAACATTTTTTACCTAAGGAAAATGCTAAAAGTAATTACCTTTTGGCTACGCTTTTACTGGTTAATCAGGTATTGCACAGGCTTGCAGCGGGAGCTATCATCCAAGTTAAAAATCTTTGACCGGTTTGCAGCAGATTGTTTATATTTTGTTATATGGGTATACTAGACTAAAATTATCCCTGTTTTATCTTGATGCTACGTATATGGTGGCTTAAGAGAAATGCTTGCTGGCTAGTGAGGGGAAGGTCCATTTTATAGTCTGGAATTTAACCAGATGAAAGCTGCCGTTGCGAGAGAATCTGTTTGATAATGTTGGTGGTAAATACATTTATCTGCAAAACCACAAGGACGATATTCCCTGCCAGTGTGGTTTTGAACAATTAGTGAAAGTGAAAAACTTCTCAAAGGTTTAGTATCCTCAATGCAAATCGCGAAGCGGGTGGAATCGAACTACCATCTTGGATATAAATGATCTTAATCCCAGGTAATATATATATTATCGTAAAAAAATGTTATACTAGCTTCAAGCTCAAAACTGCTGCCAATTCATGCAGTTTTATCAAATCAAGAAAAAAGCAACGATTCAGATCTTACAAGAATTGTAGGATATCCACAGGTAACATAAGATATGCTCTCGTTATGGGGTTAGATAACTTTCATTGTGTTGATAAAAATATAATAAAGACGTGGCATAAAAATTATACTCTTACAAGGACGAACAGGGCATTTGCAAGGATTGCACAATATGTTCGCGTTTTTAGGATGTAAAAGTTTCCTTCTATCGGAGAAAGTATTCTTGAGACCTGACTTTGGTATCTAGTTCCTAGTTCATCGATACGAAAGAAAGGTTCGGGAAATAATTGGCAATAACTAATTCAGAATTGAAAAGTTAAGGTACGAGGTATAAAAATGTCATTTAAAAGAATAGAAATATATTCAAACCATGTTGTAATTCCAATAAAATTTTTTGTTAAATTTTTCTTGGGGATGTAATGGACGTGCTTGAAAGTGGCCAGGAAACGCTAAGAAATTTCGCAGAATTAAACTGGTTGCTGAATATGAGTACTGAGCCATTAGCCAGAATATCAGTACTGAGTGAATTGATTTTGAGGTCTGAATTCAGATTTAAGAAATGATGAGTGTATTTTAATTAGTCAAAAAGAAAAAAAATCAATAAGTAATAACCTATTCCACTTTTATTTCGTTGCTCTTGCTGTAGTGATTAATTACCAATTCTTAAATTCTTTAAAATTACCGAAGAAACTATTACTTCAGTGAGGAAATATTTTGTTTTTGTGAGTTTTCCTAACTGAGCTTTCACATAGTCTTGCTATGCATTAATTTAGTATTACAGTACATTCGTTCAAAATTAAGTATAATTACGAATAAAGAAACATAAGGAAAAATATGGCACTGAGTGAATTATGGAAGGGAATGAGTTTTCGAACAACTCCTGCTCCCTATGTGTAACGCGAATGTGAGCCATTTTTCGTCAAGAATTTCTCCACGAATGTAACTTTTGCTTTACACAGATAGCATAATCTAGGTAATTGACTAATTTTTTATTTCAGTTAAAAAATAAGTTGTTTGAGAAAAGGAAAGGAAGAAAATATTTCTAATCTTTAAAAAATAACTGGTAAGACACATCTCACAATGGCTTCTTTCCTGTTAATTAAAGGAAGCGAATTTCAATTTAGATACACCAAATCCCGGATAAACTCGGTATGATCTGAACGTGTATGAGTTTCAAAAGATAGCTCTCGTGAGCAGCATCAGGTTACATCTGTTAATGAATAGCGATAATATGGCAGATCCCTGCAGTGAGTTCATAAAAACTTCTACAAAGAAATATCACAATTTAAGAGCCAACAGAAACAGATAAAATCTACGTAACATATCTGCTATCAGCCAGATGGGGTAGAAGATGCAAGTACAAAACGATGGAGTGAGGATCCGGGCAATCAAAAAGAAACGGCAATGTGGAAGACTCTATTACTACAACCGTATATCTATATATAAATAGCTGATAATCTATCAAATAAAATACAGAGCGATTTATACTGAAAATATAGTACAAAAAAAAGAGGTGTAGTATATTAGTGTATAAGGTGTAGAATGTGTAACTTATGTGGTTACAATTCTTGAGTTCTGATAATTTTCTCTTACAGTTATGAATAACTCGTCTAATATTTGGACGAATGACTTTTGAAATTCATACATAACCTTGATTAATTCAGAAAACTCATTTATGCTAGAATTTTTACATAATTTTGTGAAATGTTTTAATTAGGTGTTTCATTAGAAAAAACTGCGTTGGGGATATTTATCGTACTAGTGGGTTATCTCCCTAGCAACTTTGGAAGATTGTAGTGTCTGTGAAAAATTCAAACCAGGTTTTACAACAGAAGATCTCTTAGATTTTCTAACAAAAGGGAATTTAAGGCAACCTCTATGCAAGGCCGCTTGGAACCCAGAGCAGTTGGCACATCCAAGATCTCGCCCCTGGTGATCACAGTTATCAGTTCTGTGGAACCCGACACAGTTATCGCCACGGGAAGCCATGTGATAATTGATGGAGCCTCATGACCATGTATGATGCCATTTCCGACTTTAATACAGAGAAACATAATTCTTATCATAAATTATCTCAAAATTATGATTTGGGAGTTTCAGTACTATTATCTAAAAAAATTGACTAGTGCTCAATACCAATATCTAAAAAATATTGATTAAGCTTTCTATGGCTATTTTCATCAGATAGCACAACTGTAAAAAATTCGCAACTCAGGGGACCATAAAATTTACAATTAGGTAATTCATCAGTCAGAAATTTTTAAAGTGCATAAAAAGTAACATCTTCACTATATTTCATCCTAATAGATTGTATATTAGGGGACTTAACTGCTGCTGAACATTAAAATTTTGAGATATCATTTACATCAACAGAATTATCACTATCAACTTTATCAGAATTTTTTACAGCATATCATGTATATTCATATTAGAATTAGAAATATTAGTACTACCAACACTGGGAATAGTAACATTAACAGATACAACAGAAATAGAAACACAAATATCATCAACATTTAAACTAGGAAATTTATTTTCCAAATGTAAACTAGATCTGGATTTTGTTAAATTCATACTCTTGGCAGTTTTACAAGGTTTAATAAAATAATCAGAATTATCCTAATGAGAAAGATCGTTCTTTCTCTTACTCTTAACGCTAGATTTACGCTTGCCGTTTTTTTTTTTCCTCTATTTACGAAAAAAAATTCGTACTTACATTCAACAGACTTGATGCAATCTAGTAAATGGTATATTCCACTGTCTAATGTTTATTTTAGGTTATCTACTCTTCATTTACAGATTCCATACCTATGTTTAACCGTCCACTGTAGATCTTTGAGTAGGTTACCGCAATTCTGTTTAACTGATGAATGCACTTTCTAAACCAGTTAACAACACGTTTCGCACGTGCATAATCTGAATTAGCGACTTTAAAAATATCCAGGTAGTGAATAAATTCTACATTATTAGAAGACGCTCATCCCAGCTTCTTCACGTACGGTAAATCCAAGCAATCCTTAACATAGTTAACACAGTTATCTCCAGTCGCATTATCCAATTGCATGTCGTTAGCATGAAGCGAACACAAGGAATTGGCCTACAAGTTAGGCTTATCAAAGCTATCAAGATCAGCAGGTAACGGCCGAAACTTCGCGGCCGACACCGCATCCTCACAGCACTCTGCAAAGCAGGAGAGAAAATAAGGTCGAAAAGTTACTCGAAAAAGGGAGTTTTCCTCTGACATGGTTTTCACACGGAGTATTTAACTCTCAGATAGTAGATTCCGAAATGCGATGGACCTCAGACATGCGACGAATACAGCGGTCTTCTCTTTGACAAGATGCCGGACGCCGACCTTGTTGAGACAATACATTCCCCTAATCACTGCTACTAGCACAAATGCTGAGATACATTCCTGCCAAGTCTTATTCAGTATCGAAAAAAGAAAATTAACTTCCTCGTACTTTCCTGTTACACGGCTTTGTTCAAACTCAGTAAGCTGCTGATACTGCCTTCATTATCTCTTTATCTAAGGCATGCTTTACTCTAATCTCGAACGATACGAAGCAAGCACACCCCATTTCCATTACGTATTTGAAGCAAACGTGATTAACATGTTCACAGTGGCGCCACTAGCGCCACACTTATTTGTCTAGCATGAAATTTGAATTGACGTCATATTTAAAATGAGCAAACAAACCTCCCAAATTTCATTCATCTAGCTGAACTTCTTGGTGTTGGGATTCCGTTTTCCACCGGCGTATAAGCTCATGTGCAAAATTAAGAGAATTTGAAAAGTGTGTCTATTTTTAAGGAAAGCATTGAACCGAAGGTACTAATTATGCCACTGAAGAATTGCGCAAATATTCAGAGTCGAATACATAAGCCTACACGTGCGTGTCTGGGGAGTGTGATTGTGGAGGAAATATAAGCGCACGAGGGGCTTCTGACAATTTGTGTGTTCGTACTCCATCACGATATTCGCCATGTTTGTCGCAAGATTTGGGTAAATTTGATAAGAATTCGGGTAAAATGAATGGCTACAAATGTATGGATGATGAAATGAGATGGAGAATTGTCGATAGATTTGGAGGCAGGCGAATCATAAGCGCATTTGGCTACAGAGTTCAATGTAAGGCTCAATGTAAAATGTAATTTGGAGAAACAGTTTCAGGGCACTGGATCCATATCCAGAAGACCTGCACAAAGTTGACCAATATCCATAACAGCAGATAATGGTCGTTATTCTCCCTTTCACGCACAATACTGCTACAGCTGCAACAGCTTTCATGTGAGTGAGCTGTATGCTACCACTGGAACCGAAACTTCGCGATCTACAGTTGCCTTAAGGCTTCATGAGATAGGGATGTATGATAGAATACCCGCTATTTACGTCCAGCTCACTGCAGCAAACAAGAAAGTGCATTTAGCATGATGGAGGCAACACGCGCATTGGACCAGATTTCAGTGGAGCACCATGCTTTTTACAGATGCGTCAAGATTCAGCCTGGTTACTGATTCTCAGCGTACCTGTATCCAGGCAGAGCCCAAAATACGATACCGTCTATCCCTGCTCAGGGAAAAAGAATCATTAAGTTGATGGAGGTGATATCCTTTGGACACGCATTATGTTGGACACCCGCAAGCCCCTACAGTGTTTGCCAAAGGCTCCCTGACTGCTAAGAGATAGAGAGGGGAGATCTTAGAGCCGCATGTTCGACATTTCAGAGGCACAGTTGGCCCTGAGTTCCTGTTAATGGGAGACAGCTCTCGTCCACATAAGGTTCAACTGGTCGGCGATTACCTGGAAAATAAGGATATTCCCTGCATGGATTAGCTAGCCAGGTTTCCTGACCTTACCTTGCAGAGCATGTTTGGAACGCTCTTGGGAGGGAAATTTCATCTACTTTCGGGAATCATACTGGAGTGGAAACCTGCCTTGCTGCAGGAGTGGAATCGAATGCTACAGGGACTTCTCAGCTGCCTCCTGTCCAGTATAAACTGTAAAAGTGGTTGGTCATCAATGATATTGATCTTATGAATATAGTGATTTAGATCTAAAACGTTTTGATTCTTATATAGTTTCAAGAGAGGATGAACCAATATTCCGGTTATTAAATGCAGATAATTCTTTAGTAATTCCTTATAATACGCTGAGCGACCTGACTGGCTGTGAGAAAGAACCATACCCGGCATTAGACTCATTTTCAGTTCGATATCACAACGTCGATTTTGGATATCCCTGCACTGTGAACTTTACTGATAATCATGCGTACTTAAAATGACTTTTAAATCGTATATCACTTTCTCTGTTATAAATATATACTCATACCATATTCTATTAAAATATGTCCATTAGTTTTTCAGAAATTCAACATAATATGCAGATTCTCTTAATTCGGCACACGAGTATATTATTTGACATTTACATGGTTGAATATGAGTAATTGTATAATATCCTTGGCTTAATCAGCTTTTTTTCGTTAATGCATTGTAACCAAGTGAATGTCAACAATCAGGAAACTCTTTCACTTCTCAGTTTGACATTCCTATGCTAAATTAACGAACACCTCTTGGCCGGCGTTCGCGAGTGCAGTATAAAGAAGATCTCGCGTGATCCGAAATTCATTCTTTTGAATTCCTATGTGTTTCTTTAGTTTCTTGACTCGAGATTGAAAGATGTAGGCTGAAATCCCGTCATTCTCACAAGCAAATCGAGAAAGATTAAAAGCATCGTAGGAATCTATTGTAGATACTCACGCAAGAGGTTCATCGTAGCAATATTTATGTCGATCATAGGTTTACATTCTAACACGAAGCTTGTAAAACAATGAAAAAGTCCAAATGACTTGTCTAATGAAACTCATTGTAAGAATATCACGTCTACCCTCTAATTTCAGATCTTTCGTGAGCTAATTTAATCTATAACGCCAATAAGAGTTAATTGCGCTTTCTGCAACTGGAATCTTGTTATGTAAATGATGAACTCGTGTCTGGATACCTAGCATTTTATTAAATATTTTGACTCATTTATGAAGTGTAAATGACAAATAAAACATTACAAATGTCATTTAATATCCAGAGAAAAGTTCATCGACACTTTCTCTGGGTATTACTTGTTTGACCACTTAAATATACGATCACGGAAGTCAATTCCAGATCTTGTTCTTTATGAGAGTTTTATGAATGAGCTTCTCAGATTTGTTGACGACGACTTAGTAAGGAGAAATGGCACATATTATTGGAATGACCAAAATTTCCTAAATTAATGTGCCTTATTGAATTCATTTGTATGCCTATACAGAAGATAAATTCGCATTTAAGTATACTATTTTAATTCATATTGATATGTGTCAAATTCAGAATTATGTACTTTAAACGAAATCCTGCAACAATTAAAAGAACAGAATTTAAGCTCTATTTAAATTCAAGACTAAGCATTCCGGCCTTTAATTACTTTAATGTTTCAACTCTTTTTTTCCTAATTACTTGAACGAATAAATTTAATTTTTACTGTCATAAAATTATAAAAATTAACCTACTTGTAGAAGCATACAGATAATCTTTAGAGATACCATTAATTCTTTTTGTAACATCATTAAATTTGACACTTGCATCTTTAAAATATATAAATAAATCTTTAAAATATTTTTAAGAGTTAAATTTTATAAATTAAAAATATTTTAAATCAACTCGAAGCAATTTCGAGAAAATAACAAAGTTCTTTCGGGTAATTTGCCTTCTGCCAAATGCTCATGGTTTTTAAGATATTCAAATTCTATAACTTTCATTCTTAGCTTTGAATCTCTTTTTGTTTTGCCTCCTTAAATAATTTGTATTACGGTGGTATGTTTATCGGATTATATTCTCCAAATACATGATTCCAACTGAAAGTAGGGCAATATGGAAGCAGAAGTTTACAGAAATTACTTTACAGAAACTTTGAATAAAGCGAAATTACAACTACTAAGTATGCAAAGTTTTTTATATAAACACATATAACATATACGCAATAAATCGAGTATAAAATAAAATTCTCACTTTATCACTGCTTTGCTTTCCACATATGTTTTATTGCTGTACATGCCTTGACTTGCTAGTACAGCTTTTAGATACTTTTGTAAGAACTATTTGTTAGAATGATCTTTCATTCCGTAATTAAATCTTTCTAAGCCTTTCAAATATTCTCAGAATGGTGTTTTTTGAAAGTGATCTTCACCTGCTTCTGACTGCTTCAGTCTTTGAGTCCGTAAGAGAAATTACCAACTAAATTAAACAATGAAAACATAAATGTCATTTAAACTCAAACATAAATGTCATTTAAAATTATTTTCGTGAGCAGACGAATAATATTTTTAAAAAGCTGAAGTTAAGTAATTAATCACAGCTTCGTTTGGCAACTTCGCTGGAATCAGTTGAAAAAAAATCAAAAATGAAATTTTGTAGAGACTGCGTAGATTTCATAAAAATAAAATAGATAAATAAGATGATTATATAAATTAAAAATTAAATATTTGAAATAGATTTTACGTTATCTGAGTCAGAGGATTCAGTAAAATTTGTAAACAGCTATTTATGGCTTGGATGTTCTTATAATTTAAGTAATCAATTTAATTAAGTTAATTAATTAAGTTGATTAATTTAAGTAATTAATTTAATTAAGTTTAATTATAATTTAAGTTATATTTTAAATTTCATTTGGTACTTGTAACTGCATATTAAACTAGTTCGGAACTAAATGAAATAAACTGGAACTAGATCTTTTCTTCCCAGGAGCTCTGCAGTGAAGGTTCGGACGGGAAGTCCAGTGGTTTTCACTCTCCCTCCTCCACAATGCAACATGGAAATTCGAAGCGGATTCGGTCCTTCGGGAAACAGGATAACCGGTCCGGTTAACGTTGGAGACCCTCTCACGCTAGTCATCCATATGAAGAGCGAATCCAGTAAGTTAATTTTGTAAATTTCATTTTTTTATCACTTCACGTTGAAACATCATTTTTCGGTACCACTTAAATTTACGTAATTTTATAGCTTTTATGTAATTAATTATTTAAAAAGTTTCTTTTCTTTTCGGACTATTCTTGTAATTAAATAAATAATTATTCTGCTGATTACGCTTATGTATATTTTCAATATACATACATCGTTACATTTATATTCAAGTTAGCGATTTTAATATATATATGTGTGTGTATTTGTTGTAGAGCATTATTTATCTTCTGAAAGAAAATGGACACTAAAACAGCATCAAACATGCAAGTACTGAGTCATAGCCTAAAGAATATAAAGTCTTATTGTGTATTCCAACAAACAGGGTTGTGCTGACCTTAGTATTGCTTTTTACTAGGAATACATTTGGCACTTGAATATTGCTTTTATAGTCTTCATTTAAGTGCATTACTTTGTAGAGTCATTAAGTTAAATGAAAAGATGAAAAATATGCAACCGCCTTCGCCGGGAATCGAACCACGGATCTCTGGAATACCGGCCCAGCAGGCTGCCGTTACACCACGAAGGCACGCCAAGAAGGTTGGAGAAATACCTTATATACTCCCCTTTTTAAAGGGCGACTAAGGTTTAGGGGACCTAGTCGCCAAATCCTGGGTGCGGAGAATCATCATCCACAACCCTTTTAGTTCGGACGCCACTAGTAGAGTCATTAGGTTAATTGAAAGCAGAATAGATGAAAAATATGCAACCGCCTTCGCCGGGAATCGAACCACGGGCCTCTGAAATACCGGCTCAGTGTGCAGAACCAACTACACGACGAAGGAACGCTAGGGAAGTGGGCGAAATACCTTATAACTTAGCCTTTGCTTGATGTTAAGAGAAAATAGTTTTCAAATTTAATCAATTAGTAAAAGGAAATGATTTAAAATTTTTATGTTCTCATTGTACAAGTAGACCTACATTTAAATTTATACTTTTCAGCAAACTCGTTTTATTTAGTAAAAACACTTATTTTTTTATGTCTAATGATAGGTCTGTAATAATTCTCGTAGTTCCTCAAGGTGATGATTCCTCAACGTTAAAATTAGGTCAAGGTCCTTAAGAATTGATGAGTTTGCTTTTAATAGAGAACTAAGGAAAATATACCTCGGTACTCAGCTGCTTTTTAATCGGAATTGATCATTTTTCGCTAATTTAACAACAGTTTCAATCACTGTTTGTATTATGCTTATTTTGCTTATATACTCCCCTTTCTCGCTTGATATATCAAGTACGATATGTGAAACGTGGTTGCATGCAGTATCTGTTTGAGTAGCATTTTTCTTAGATATTTTGAGAATACATGATCACGCTGAATCAAACATTAAAAAAAGAAGGAAGAAAAGGAAGGGAAAAGTTGCGCAATTTTTATTTTATTTTCATTTTATTCACAGAATGATTTCCAGCAATATTAGAATTAACTCCAAAATTGCTTAAATACTATATTAAAATAGAATGGAACAATTTGAACTGTAAACCTGTTTAGTTATAAAACACCTTTCTTTTAGCTTAAGGTCAAATGAAAAGCGTTCAGTCAGCCATGACGGGTTGTAAGAACACTATACGGACAATACCGAAAGTTAAAGAAATTATTTGAACCCGGAAGGTTTCTGTGTGTTCGTTAAATTCCAATACTTTCTAAAAAAAATATGTGAGACTTCAAATCGCTTTCTCACCTTTTGGTTGCACACGATTGGTTTGCGATTTGCGAGAAAAATCCTGGAGTGGGGTGACCAATCAAGCAGATACTTCTGTTCTCAGGGTCTAGGTCAAATCTTTCTCGGAAACGAAAGCCATTCGAAAAATCAAGTGTCAGGTTGTCAAAGCGAAGTTTCAGCTGCATGAATGCTTTATTTACACGCTCTTTTGATATGAATAATGGCTCAAACCGCAAGAAGAGAGTTTTCCTTGACCTTGAGTGGACATGCTTCAGCAGCTATATAACGGCGAGGTTAAGATCCTAAAAAAAAAAAAAAAAAAAAAAAAAAAAAAAAAAAATGTCGTAATTCAAGTTTTCTTTCAGAAAAATAGAAACGGTTGGGGTGTAAATATAGATATCTATTTTTAGGTATTTCTTCGTGCATTTGTAATTTATATATATGTATATATATAGAGAGAGATGAGTAACTCATTAGTGTGTTGATATGGTGCTCGAAAGGTTTTTTGTTCAATAATGAACAGCTTGTACAATTTCAAATATTCTTTATTTGCAATGTGATTTTTAGAATATTAGATCATTGGAAACGTAACACCGATGCGATTTAAAATAATTCATATCTTTAAAGTGGAATAATCGGCATTAGATATAGTTTGAAAGATATTAGTTTGAAAATTAGAAAATGATTAAATGCCTTTTTTTTTGTCCTTTTTTTCCTGAAGGTTATTATTATTATTATTATTATTATTATTATTATTATTATTATTATTACTGAGTTATTGGACATTGATGACGTTAATCTGGACGGGATCAGAGGAAGTTTGAAGCTGTTTTTCTAATTCCAAAACTTCGTTAATCATGTCTCACAAGTAAAAGCCAATGGGTCAGAAGGACGTACGCTGCACTCCAAACAGTATAAACGTCTCAGCACTTTCCGCTAAGACTGCTGATTTGCGATTATGCATCACATTTTCGCTGAAATAATGTAGAGTACGATATGGATTATATATACACACATCCACTCACCATGTATATATAAACTTCTTGAAATCATGTCTGTTCCGGATTTCAAACTAATGCACAGAAGCCAATGCACCTAGTATAAGAGAAATTTTCCATCCAATAACATTCTTTACTTGTTGAAAGCTTTAAAGGAAATAGAAATATTCCTTAGTTTTAATATTATTCATGATGTATTAAAGAACTATTATACTTTCTTTTAATTCAGCTGGGACTTAAAATTGTCTCTAGTCTGATATTTTTTAACGTAAGAGGTGAGGAACGTACCTAACAAGCTGATACAAAAATATTGAACAGATTTCATGTTTACAATTTTCCTTAAATTCGCATAAATTTCCTTTCCATTGTAAATTAATTGTATTATCTGTAGTATTAATTTTAGCTGTAGTTTATGTTCTCAAAAGGAAAAAGATGTCTTCATATTTATTAGCTTAAATGTATTTATTGACTGACTGAAAGAAAACCTTTAGAGAATTAAAAACAAATGCATAAATAATATTGACTCTCCTTTGTTAGGATCCTCATTATTGAAAAAAAATAGTTTTATTGCAAATTATGAGACAATTTCCCTTTGTTAATGCTTGTTAAATAGCTTGTACAAATTTTAACTTATACGATTACTATTATTTCGCATTAACTAGTTATTTATAATTTCCGCTTTTAGTATCACTCCTCCATTCCCGTTTCCTCATAAGAAATGTAAATGCGTTAGATAGTATTTAAGTTGAGGAACATTGGATTGTATGACACAGCGTGTGTCTGCCTCTCGAGGCCGCGTTACTAAGTTTCGCTAGCTCTGATAAGATTGTAATTCCTTGGGTTTGCGTTATTGCTGCTGACATTTAATTGTTAAGCCGGTGAGACGTTCTAAGCCAACTCAGTTTTAAATTAAATTGTGTAATCTTTGCCTACTAGGTTACGTTTTAATTTGAATTTGGCTGTTACTTAAGTTATATCGACACAAGTGGTGGTTGATACTGTCAAGCACGACAGCTGCGTTTTATGTTCAAGTTATTTTAACTTTTATCAATAAAAAAGTTATTTTAACCTTTTCAAGATTTTGTTGTTTATTACAGATACAGCGATAATTCGCTTAACGTCTATTAAAAGTTTGATGCTGGTTTATGCTTCCAAGTCAAACTACACACAGTAATAATAATAGAAAAGTGCAAAAACATGTTTTATACAATCTTTCAAAACGTTTTAAGCAACGTTTTTCTATTAAGTTCATGCTTTCTAAGCCATCTGTATTGACAATAACAGAATTGAATATTTTCTATCAAAAGTACAAGAAATTAACTATATTTCTAAGATATGTTCTTGTAGTTACCTTCAAATCAGTCTGTAATTCTGAAGATCGCGTTCAATTCTAAGAGAAAACACAGAAGAGAAAATACAGTTATTTAGAGAAACCACTCTCACTTGGTCTTTGATGAGGAATTTCGCATTTGTTTCTTTGATTAATTATAACAAAGCATGTGAAGGCTATATTCAAACGAAGAGGGAAGCCTTCGTAATTGTTTTCTGTGAGAAACTACCTCGTATTTAGGTTACACATGGAGAAACTACGAAGCTATTATGCATTCAGCTCGTTCATTGGGATTCAAATCCTGGTCGAATTACCAGTGTTCAACGAATCATATTCTGTCTTCCACTAGTGGACTGGTTTGACTTAAGTAATTAAAGTTATTCCTTCTGTGTGGTCTTGTAGTAGAGTAGTTAGCATAACAGACTGGTAATCTGAAGACCCCAGTTTGATTCCGAGCGAAAGCATGGCAAATTTTCCAATTTTGCTACAGCACTTTTCATATTGGTATGACATCACAAAAGCTACAATCTTTAGATGTGATAGAGAATTATTAGAAACAAAAGCAGTAATTGCAAACAAAGTAACCATTCTTCATCAAGAAACCATTCGTCTTTCGTAATTTTTAGTATGGGACAATATTGCGTAAATTTCTATTTGTTGTTATCTGTGAGAAATGTTTGTTTATTTAATCAGCTATAGCAAAAGTATGCTAGAGCAGTCTTCATAAGGGAAATTTTGCTTTCTTGGAGTTCCTTTAAGCGAAACTGTCTCACGTTCGGAATACTCATAACGGTAGCCACGAAAATACCCAAGCAGACAGCCCGTTTGTTGGGATTCAAACTCGGTCGAACTACTAGCATTCGGCAACTCGTAAGGAATAAGAGCATTGAGAGCACTCTAAATGTAAAATGGGTGATGAGGGAGGTTCTTGAGTATAGCAAGCACTTTAAAGCCGTCTGCTTTCAGCT